TAGCTAGTAGCAGATAGTTCTGATAATCTCTACCTTATAATGCAGTTTAAGATCTGGAACTGCTAGACTTTTCTTTACATTTTTTAACATTTATTCCTTTGATGTTCTTGACCTTTTGTTCTTCCAAATGAATTTTGTTATTGTTTTTCCTACCTTGCTAAAAATAATTGTTGGTAGCTTAATTGGGATGGCACTGAGTAAGTAGATTAGTTTAGGTAGAAGCCATATGCTTTATAAGAGTTTCATAAAGTCAGAAAGAAACTTGGTCTCTATCTAGCCCAAACACCTCATTTTACAGATAAAGAAACTGAGAGCCAGAGAAATGAAGTGGTTTACTCAAGGTCAAGAAACTCTTTGAAGGAAAAGATGGAACTATAATAATAATGAGACCTGGCAACCCTATGATGCAGCTATCACAGGCATTATTATCTTTATTTTATAGATGAGAAACTGAGGTGAAAAGTTTAACTTGCCTGTGGTCACACAGCTATTAAGTATCTGAGTCCAACTTGGGCTTCTTCTCACTCCATGTCCAGCATTTTCTCCACACTCCCTCTGTAAAAAACCAAGGTCTTCTAGATTCTCAGGCCTCTGGACAGCTAGATTGATACTGTTTCCAATATGCCACATTTCTCTCTTTTTACAAAGCTAAAGTAACATCAAATTCCTTCATTCTAGAATAACCCAAATTTACCCCTTGAATTTGTGTCTAATAATTATCATGCCAGTCTATAGCATCATTTCAATTATTGGTTTATGCTCCTGGTGTACCACAGTGTGGCAATGATGTATCGACTCTATCATCTTCTCTTTAGAATCTATAACTTCTGCCTTGTTGTTAATGTTCTATGGCACAGTGGACAGAGTCACTTGGCCTTGAAGTCAGTGAGACCCAAGTTCTAATATGACCTCAGATACTTACTAGCTATATGACTATGGGAAAGTCACTTAGTCTCAGTCTGCCGTAGTCTCTTCATCTGTAAAATGGGGATACTAATAGCACCTACCTTGGAAAGTTACACATGCACCTAAAACTATAGCTCACAACCCCACCCTCCACCAGTAAAGACCTTACATCTAATAGTCATCCAGTAGACACAATTAGTTGGAAGCAGAAACATTTACTAAGATGGGACAGTAAGAAGAGAAGGTATAAAATATCTGCCTTTCATAAACCTGGGGTACACTCTCCCACAAATGCACATGGCATCAGTGGGAAGAGTGAACAGAAACTTAGAGTATATTGCCAGGAGTGTGCTGGAGCTACCTCAAACCAGCTGATGGTTAAATTTTCAGGGTAAGCATTTCACCTTGGAAATTATCAAACTCTACAAATTGGGGCTTGATTTATTGCTTTGCTGGTCATCTAGACTTAGGAAGGTGATGGAGGAAAGGTTAATGATGCAGATTAAACTTTAAAGTATATCATGCATATGTGTGCGTGTGTGTATTAGTCAATTGTGTGTGTGTATATATGTATATATGTGTATGTGTGTATGTTTGTGTGTGTGTGTGTGTGTGTGTGTGTATGTTGGTTCAGAAAGTAATAACATAGTGATTCTTAAATATTTACCAGCACCCTGCTGGTGTCCTTATGCTATTCCCACTGGGCACAGTATCTCTGCTGCATGAACCATTCATCAATTCCTGGACCTGTTCCTCTCTATGGCTCAGCTACCAGGGCTAATTCTCCCTTGGATACAAAGTTGGCTCTCTTCCCTACCACCACTAGAGAATCTGCTTCCTGCTCTGCCCTGCCAACAAGTTCAATTCTCTCTCTCTCTCTCTCTCTCTCTCTCTCTCTCTCTCTCTCTCTCTCTCTCTCTCTCTCTCTCTCCCTCTCTCTCTCCTCTCTCTCATTCCCTCCATCCCTCCCTCCTCCTCCTCCTTCTTCTTTTCTCTCTCTCTGACCCCTCCCTCCCTCATCCAGCAGCAGCAGCAGCAGCAGCAGCAGCTGCATCTTCTTCTTCTTCTTCTTCTTCTTCTTCTTCTTCTTCTTCTCTTCTTCTTCTTCTTCTTCTTCTTCTTCTTCTTCTTCTTCTTCTTCTCTCTCTCATACACACACACACACACACACACACCCCACCTCTGGATACAATGTCTTATTTTGAGAGAGTACTTCCACTTAAAGACTCTATGGTCATCGAAGCAGGGGAGATGAGAGAACTCCCCTTCCCTTCACTGTTTCTCTCTGGCAACGGTCACACTAAGCTCAACTAACTCTAGGATTGGCAAGCTTAGTTTTTTTAAAGGCCACCATGGAAAATGGCCAGTCTTTGGCTAGTTAGCCAAAGCTTCCCTTCCAGTTCCATTAGGGAGATTTCTTTATAATTCAGAAAGTAATAACATGGTGAAAAAGTATCTTTGCAATCTATATAAAACATTAATACTTCATTGTCTTTGTTTCCTGCCCCTTTCTTTCTATGACTATACCCTAGTGGAAGGATAGCTTTTGGAAACTTACTTACATATTTATATTTATGATAAAATGGAATTTAATCTAGATCAATGTAGAATCCTACACTTGGCTTTAAAAAAAGAACAATTGTATTAAATACAAGATGGAAGAAATGTAGCTAGAGGGGGTATGGCAGGTGGCACAGTGGATAGAGTGTTGGGTCATGAAGTCAGGAAGAGTCATCTTCATGAGTTCAAATCTGGCCCAGACACTAACTGTTTGACCCTGGGTAAGTCACTTAACCCTGCTTGTCTTAGTTCCTCATCTGTAAAATGAGCTGGAGAAGAAAATAGCAAACACTCCAGTATCTCTACCAAGAAAAGCCCAAATGGGGCCACAGTCGGACATGACTGGAAAATGACTGAATAACAACAAACAGTTCATGTTAAAAAAAAAAAAGGAAAGAAAAAGATCTAAGGTTTTAGGGAATTATAAAGTATGATCTGTGGCTGCCAAAACACTAACAAGATCTTAAGACTACATTAAGAAAAATTGTTGAAGTCATTGTTTGTCCTAAGAGAAATAGAATGTCCAGAAAAGAAGGTGGGGGGCGGGGAATAGTCCTGCTGAACTCTGCCCTGATCAAACCATAGCTGGGATCAGTTCTAATTGCAAGTCTTTAAGGACACTGACAACCTAGAGTGAATCCAGAGGAAGGCAACCAGAATGGTGGGAGAACAGGAGATCATGCCATCCAAAGATTGGCTGAAGGAACTGGGAATCATTTGCCTGGAGAAGAGAAGAGTGGGGGACGGGGAGGCACAAAAGCCTCTTCAAGCATTTGAAAGGCTGTGATTTAGAACTGGAGTCAGATTTGCTTTTGGTTTAAAGTAAGGAAAAATTCCCTACCAGTTAGAACCATCCAGAAGAAGCAGCAGCTCACTCAGGGGGTCCCCTGAGGTGCTCAAGTGGTCCCTGCATGATCAGTTGTTGGGGATCTTGTGAAAAAGGCTCAGGGTTAAGGTAGGGGGTAAACTACATGACCTCTGAAGTCCCTTCCAACTGTAAGATTCTATGTAAGGAAAAATAATAGGAGATTTGCCCTGAAATGCCTACTTCAACTGGATTTGGGGAAAGGTAAATGGAAATAACAGATGGGAAAAGTGCTTTGAGGAAGTTTTTTTTTTCTTTAAGGACCATACATATATACATAAAGTATGATCATTAACTCCCTTAGTCCCTCAGTAACGGTAGTTGTCTAACACTGAGCACTTCAAGGTGATAAGGAGCTGTTATCCCCATTTTAAAGGTGGAGAAACTGAAGTACATCAAAGCTTCATCAGCATAGTCCTTTCACCACAATCATCAACATCAGTGATAATTTCTTAAGCTATAGCTCTAGCTAGTCTGTTCTTCATGTCCCTCTGAGTGGTTTCCCCCATTCTCTACCCTCTCCCCCACTGCCTTGATGTTATCTTTCTATAATAATAACTCACTTTTAAGATTTAAATTTCACTGATATCTTTTACATTACCATCATTTCCAATTATAGCTTTCTTCTCACCCACACCGTCAAACTATCTCTTGTAATGGAAAAGGAAGAGAAAAGAAAAAGTTTAGTAAACTCGCCCACACATCAACCAAGTCTGACAGCATGTGAACTGTTCCACAGCCACAGCCCTCCACATCTGCAAAGACAGGAGGAAGTTGCATTTCCTCATTTCTTCTCTGAAGACAAGATTGGTCATTATAATTACACAGCATTCAATTTCATCATTTTCATTGTTGCATTGTTCTTTTTTTGTTTTTTTACATGGCTTTAGTCATTGTGTATAGTTTCCCTGATTCTGTTTACTTCACTCTGCATCAGTTTATAGAAGACTTCTCCAAGCTTCTCTGAATTTTTCATAGTTATCATTTTTTAGAACTCAGCAATATACCATTACATTCGTATGTCAAATGGATAGGCAACTACTTTGTTCCCAGTTCATTACTACCACACACACACACACACACACACACACACACACACACAATTAAAATTTTGATATGGATAATTTGATAACTTATTTTATATAACATTTTTCTTGCAACAATGCTGTGAAGTAATTAATGCCAGTGTGATTGTTTCCATTTTGAAGATGAGGACACTGAAGTCCAGAGAGAATGCATGATTTCCCTGTGGTCACACAGTTACTTAGTGGTAGAACCAGGTTTTGAACTTACGTCTTCTGATTCCAAGACCAGTCTACCAAGCCCTCTGACCTATAGAAGAAAAATCTGCTTCTCTCTGAGAGGGGCAAAGCAAAGCAGGGAACTGACTTTTATTCCTCTACCACCACACTGAAAGTGACTCCTCACACTTAGTTTTATTTTCATGCAAGGATGATGTGGAGTTGATGGACTGGTTTCCAGGAATTCTCTCAAAATGTAAGAGTTTGAGTGTTATATTGTTTGAGTTCCTCTAACACTTCTGCCACTCTATCAATTTCTTCCCAGTCTATCAGAGGCAGAAGAAAGTATGTATGGTGGGCCTCTAAGTCAGGCAGCTCTGGGGATAAGTGAAGTCAGTAGGATCCACTTTCTTTGTGCTCTGTTTCAGTTGGAACCAGTAGGCCAGAAGCAGAACTACAACAACTTTACCTACAGCCGGACAAAAGTCAGGTGTCCAACATCTGTAAGTAAAAGTCCATCCAGCTCTCATTGCCCCCCCATTCCCTCCCCACATCCCACCTCCCTGTGTGACATCATCTTTCTTTACTGTCTGTCCAATGGGGGAAGGGTTTTCAGTTCCAAGTGACCAAAGGCTCTTTGGTTAGACTCTTGATAAACCATAAATCCAGGCCTTCTTAACCTTGGTCCAGAAACTTTAAAAAAAAATTTATTAACTATATCAAATCATAATTAATTGCCTTTGTAACTGCATGTACTTTATTTTGTTCATTTTAAAAACGTTATTCTGAGAAGAGGTCCATAGATTTCCCTAGACTGCCCAAGGGTTCCCCATCTCAAAAAAAAAAAAAAGGTTAGGACTCTGCTGCAGGCTATCCTCTGTATCCCTAGCACCTACATGTCAGGTCTCATGTCAAGGCCTGACACATAGTAGGGCTTAATAGATGTTTGTTGATTGATTGATTGATGGGTTGAGCATGAGCAAGGTCCTCACCTGGAGCTTCCACTCTCAAACCTTGAAAAATCTCAGTAGCTATGTTGAATTCCAGAGTTGAGGGACTGGAACAGCAGCTTGTAGCAGAGGTGCACGGACCTTTGGCTGAGCTCCCTTGGAATCACCCACTTCCTGTCACCTTCACTGTCAGCACGTTCCTTTCCCCATTACAGCTTCTGTTTCCCCATGCTTTCAGAGGAGGGAGTCAAGAAGAGGCGATACTTTTAATGCACTTTAAAAGGAAAGTCTGGATGGAAAGTACTTAGAGATTCCAAGGCAAAGAGCTTTGTTACTGATGATCGAATGGGAGAGGGGGGGAAAGAGAACAAGGAAATAAAGACTGCCCTTCCCCCAAACTCCTAATGCTACTTCCTGCAGTCCTGGGATTTCACTGAGGGAAGGTTGAATATGAAGAACCTAGCCAGAGCAGGACTTATTGTGGGTTCATAGATTAAACCTGGGAGGAACCTTAGACATCCTCTAGTCTCATCTTCTCAAATTATTGGTGAGGAAGCTAAGGCAGAGAGGAAGTCACTTGCTCAGGGTCACACATTTAGTGACTATGTGAGGCAGAATTTGAACTCAGGTCCTCCTGGCTCAAATCCAGCATTCTATCTGCTATACCAGGCTGCTGTCCCTGAGCTATCTCACACACACACACACACACACACACACTTATACACACCTGCCACCATTACCATACCCACTCCTGAAAGCCCTCCTCACTCCAAACCTTGGCTGACCAGCTCTGTCTTTTCTTACTAAAGACCTTAAGAAGTATCTGCAGCAAAGAGGACAGGAGAGACTCAGTTTCCTTATCTGTAAAATAAGTTTGGATTAAATGTTCTCTAAGGTTCCTTCTAGCTCCATCAATGATCCTATGAAGGTATGGATGAGATAGGGCATATGGGAATGAGGGCCTACTTGTCTTTCTTCTCTCCCCCGAGGAGATTAGAAATAAACTAATTTATTACTACCACCACCACCCCACAAGGGGAAAAAACACATCATAGGTTACAAACAGCTACTGAAACTTCTTGGGGCCATAGGGTGAAAAGGCTAAACTTACTATAGTTTAACTGAGGCATTTGGAAAGAAGTGTTAGGCAGAAGAAATACCCTTGTGAACCACTAATTGCTGCAAGGAGCAGCTAATGGTGACCAGTAAGGCAGCATCCAACAGGTGACTCAGAGATATGCAGCTGGGATTCTGCCCTCCTCCTTACTTAATTGTCCTCCTCTTCCATCCTCCCTTCCCTAATCTTTCCCCTCTTCCCCTGATTTGACCTTGGGCAAGTCACTTGACCTCCCTGGGTCTCAGTTTCCTCCTCTGTAAAATGAGGTTAGCCTAGATGGCTTCTCAAGTCCCTTCCAGTTCTAAATCCTATGATTCTGTGATCCTCACTCTTATCCAGCCAAGCAAGTGAGTGTCCCCAGAGCAGGCAGATAGCTGGAGATCAGTGCTTTTGTTCTTTAGATATTTAGGGAGCAGAGCTACCAAGAACAGGGTCAAAAGGAGAATTATGTGCATGGAGCAAGAAGACCACCTCCATTCCCAATCTCCCCCATCTTCAGGGTCTTTATCTCTAGTTTTATAACTTATTTCAATTCAGTATTTACTAAGCAGTTACTATTCCAGTTGGGCTGTATCATCCATTTTCTCAAGTCCACTTTGATCCTTGGGCATGAATGAATGAATGAATGAATGAATGAATGAATGAAAAAAAGCCCTTATTAAGCATGCATTATGTACAAAGCATTATGCAAAATGCCGGAGATACAAATAGAAAAACAAGACAAAATCACTGAGCGCCAAGAGCAGGGAGAGAACACAAGTATGAGATTTTGACTGCAGGACTGATGTCAGTCTGGTTGATAAAACCATATCGGTTTCTGGTGTTAAACCACTTAATGGTGTTAGGACCTTTTCTCGGTGTTCAGTAGCCCTGACTGCTGAAGAGGCAGGGGCTATAGCATCTACAGAGGCTGGAGATTCAACCTCTTGCCAGGTCAAATCTCCAAAAGGGTTGTTCCCTGGATGATGATCAGGCTGGAATCAGGGCTAGTGGTCTGGGTATAGGGTGCTGCTGCTCACGGGACTTGGGTGGGAGGGGTCAGAGCCCTAGGGATCTCCACCCGAGTCTAATAGAGAAGGTGTTGGTCCAAGGGATGGTGTGGATTTGGGCTGCCTGCCCTATGCCATTCCATATCACTCCCTCAGGACTTCTTGCTGTTCCAATCAAGCTGGCTTGCCCGCCCTTTTATATGTAGATGTTCTCTCCCCAGGGTAGATTACAAGCTCATTTAAGGGAAGGACTTTCCCTTTTGTTTGTCTAGGTTCAGTGTTTTTAGTCCAATGCCAGGCACAGAGTAAGCTCTCAATAAATACTTTTCGATTAAACAAATGTTAATCAATTGATTGATAGCTATTCTTGTGAACTCCTAATCCTCTGAACCCTACTATATGCTCATTTCACAGGATAACCCCTACTTCTATACCTTGAGGAATAGTGGGCTGTTTCCACAGGAAACCGACAAGTCCTCCAGGGTTCCCTACTGGGCCGTGCTGCTGGCTGCTGTTGCCAGCTTCGTGGCTGGCGTGGTGCTGGTGATGGTGTGGAGGCCCGAGAGATGCTCCAGGAGGGAAGAGAGCCCTATAAACCTTGTGTCCAGAGTCTTTTAAGCATCATCTCCCACTGGAACTATCTCATATCAAACTCCTCCCCCAAAGGCACTCCCCCAGGGTTCTCTGTACCTCACCCATCCCTTGCCAACATCCAGATCATTAATTTCAATGTCTGGTGACCACTGGAATCCTCAGGGAACAGCATCAGCATTCTGGGGCTAGGTCTCCTGAAATCACCACTTTGCGAGCCATTTAAAATCAAAGACAAATTTTTTTTTAAAAATAAAGGCAAAAGAGCCTCCCTACTCTTAGATTAACCTGATACAGAGCTTTGAATGAATGAAAAACATTTATTAAGCACTTTCTATGTGTCAAGAATTGTGCTAAGTGCAAAACAGTTCCTGACCTCAGGGAACTTACATTTTAGTAGGGGGAACTGACACATATAAAGGAGCGATGGCCAAGGAAGGTCTGAGAATTCACAGGGACAATGAATGGAGCCATACAGGAATCAATTGGCATGCCCTCTCAAGGAGCCATGCTAGTGTTCATTTGACTATTCTTCCCAGAACAAGAGGTACAAAGCAGGAAAGACGGAAAGGGCGGAGTAGGAGAGGAGTCATAATGGGCAGATGGCTGGGATGTATGGTTGGATGGGATATGAAGTGCTGTCTGGGGTCTGGTAGATAGAATTGACAATGTGAGTTGGCAACTGGTTGACTCCAGAATCCAGACAGCGTGACTCCAGGGTGGTGATTACAAAGCTGAGCAGATTGTTACTCAAGGACTCGGCTCAGGAATTCCACTGGTTGGGGTAGCAAGGGTTAGATGGAAGATCAAGGAGATGGCTGGAATGTGCCTCTAGCTGAAGAATCCTTCAGGATGACATGGGAAGCCTCTGATTGGCTTTCAATCCAACAAATCAGGGGTACACAAAAATTACATGTCTCTTGCCTAAATTGAGGTCCACTCAATTAACCCTAAGTTGGGGGTAAAAGGGAGGACTTTATCGTACCCCAATGCCAGAGGAGACCTCAGATCAGACATCTCGTTTCTCACCTGGCTGCACTGTCTTGGGATTTCTCTGACCCACTTCACCACGTCCAGGAAAGATGATTGATTATTGGGATTACCTCGACATCCTGCAAGATCTCCTCAGCCTTGGGACTCCACCTCATCGCTACTCTCAGTCTCTCTGACTGGAGGGGGGTGGAGTTATGAACTCTAGATCTCCATTTAAGGAGAGATCTCAGCTCAGACATTTCTTCATTTCGTTTCTCCCCTGGTTCCACTGTACTGAGACTTCTCCAACCGACTTGTCCACTGTGTGTTGGGTATTCCTCCCTCCTTCTCAGCCTCCTTTTGTGTTTTGTATTCCCCCATTAGATTGTAAGCTCCTTGAGGGCTCACAGGGACTGTTTCCTTTTTTTTTTTAATTTGTATCCTTAGCACTTGGATAGTGATGACTATAGGGTGGTCTCTACATAGGGAAGGAACCAGTTTAATTCATATTAACCAGCACAGCCTTTTGCAGGCTATGAGGCCCATATTTAAAATCCTGAGAGAACCTCTGCTATCATTGAAGTCTGGCTGGGGGATATCTGAAGAAGTTTCTGTACCCTCTCAAAAAGCCTAGATGTTTCACTGTGAACCTTAGAGCCTAGGGCCTAACAGGAATTTAAAAGCAAAAATGGATAGAAAAGCACCTAAAACTATAGGAGATATTACCTTTCATAAAGAGTCCTTCCCAGCCAGAGTTCTGTGCTCAAGGCCCTGCTCTGAAGGTACCTGTGTTTGGGAGGCAACAGCAGGAGTGTGCAGATAAATGTTTAGTAATCACCTTTTGGGGGTAGGGGGAAGGGGAATGTGCATACAGTATACTTTTAAGTTTAATCTGAATTATTAACTTTTTTCCATCACTTCCTTAAGTTTAGACAATTTAAAAAAACCCACAACAAATCAAACCCTGATTTATAGCCTTTGCCCATTTCAAAAGTATAAATGTTCACAACGAAAATTAAACAATCAGCTCTTGCTAGCCGGTACCAGCTGGCTCCAGTACATCTCTGACTCAGACTTCGAGGAGACCTGGCCTGGAATTCACATTTCCGGTACTTAGTAACTGTGGGCCTCTGAAGAACAGTGTGTGTCTAGGCTTTGCTGTGCTCGACCTGCATAACCTTGAGAAGGTCACGTAGCATCTCTTGGCCTCAATGTCCTTATCTGTAAAAAAAAAAAAAATTAGGAGCTTGGACTAAATGGCTTTCAGGTCCTTTCTAATCCTAAATTTGACTTTTGGCTAGTTACTTTGCTTCCTCAGCTTTGATTTCTTCATTTGAAAAACTGGAATATTCATATTTCCCTACTTGGCAGAGCTGCTATGAAGAAAACATTCCCATACAAAACATTATATAAATCAGAGTTATTATTGTTGTTGTTATTATTATTATTATCTCTTAAACTACCACTGTCAGGAAAAGGGAATGAGGGAACTGAAGAGAGAATGCAGAATGCTGTCTAAATGTAGTAATAAAAATTAATGATAACATTTATATATCACTTTACGGTTTGCAAAGAACTTTATATATGTTAACTCATTTGATTCTCACAACATCCCTGTAAGATAAATGCTATTATTATCCCCATTTTTACAGATGGGAAACTGAAACTGAAACAGATGGAGGTTAGGTGACTTGCTCAGGGTCACACAGCTAGTAAGTGTCTGAGGCCAGATTTTAATTTAGGTCTTCCTGACTCCACAGACAATGCCTCTTCCATTGTACCATGTTACATTTCTCCAATAATGCTAAAGAGCCACTATTTCATTGTTGTAGGCACTTTCTTCACTAACACAGAACGGAACTCCTCCACTCCTTCAAAAACTCATTGCCTGGTATCATTTTTCTGATGGCTATAACATGTCTTTGAAATTAGCTAGTGCTATCTTTGAATAACAGACCAAAAGTCCACTACCCAGTCCATAGCTGAAGCTTTTTCAGTTTGGAAGGACCTGTATTGGCTCGGTCTTTCTGAATCCAGGGTCGTCTTTACATACTAGGCTTGAAAAACTTGCCAAAGCTTCACCAGTGTAGTAGGCTGTGTAGTAGGGTAGGTGGAATGTTGACCTTAGAGTCAAGAAAATCTGGGTTCAAATCCTACCTGCAAAAAACATGTAGATCCTATCAAGGTATAAAGGCTTCAACTACACTGGAAGTATTCCGAACAAATTGAGTGCCATGACTGATCTTGACTAATGATGCATACCTCACACCACTCAGCAGAGAGGTGGTAGATTATTGCTATGGAACAAGATATAACATTTTCACAGATGGCGCATAGGATGATTTCCTTTACTTGACTTTATGAAGAAGGAACTTATTGGGATGGGGTAGGAGGAGGAAGGGAATCATTAGGAAGTAATGGAATGTTTAGAAAAAGAAAAAAGAACGTGAATAAAACAACTTGGTATAATAGGAAGAGCAGCGACTCTGGAGTCTGAGGTCCACAGTTCAAATTCTACAGGTGATACTTATTACATGTATGACGTTGGTCGGGTCACTCAGTCTCTGGGCCTCTTTTCTCTCTTCTGCAAACTAACTGGCCTCAATTCTGCAAACTCGCTGGGCTCTGGGGTTCCTTTCAGCTCCAGATCTATGATGCTAAAAAGGTTTGGTTTTCCTCTCATATTTTTAAAATTGTGAACTTACCATACAAACAAACATTCTTTGGGTCCATCACTTCTCTGTCTGGAGGTGGGTGACATGCTTCATCACAGGTTCTCTGAAGTTATTTGCTATCAACAGAATTCTTTAGTCTTCCAAAGTTGTTTTTTTTTTCTTCTGGGACACCTTCTTGCTCTCTTTCTAAGATCTTATGCGCATTTGGAAAAAACAAAAGGAATGCTTTGAAGAGAAGCTAGCTTTTCATCTAAGGCCAGTCCAGAGCTCAGAAGTTTGTTGACAGTATGGCCACAGAGTGATGAAGTTTTTGGCCACAACATTTCTAAAGACTATTCACGAAGATTTAAAAACATAACATCTGCATTGTTACAGGGAATACCCACATTAACAAAACCATAGATCCTTGAAATATTGAAATAATGATAATAATAGTGTAATCCAGATCTATTGGACAGAACAGATTGCCCTCCAGCAAATAGCTGCTGAAGATTTCTGCTGGGAACAGCTTGATTCAATTAATTGAATATCTATTATGTAATTACTATGTGCCAGGCACTAGGTTAGACTTTGAGTATAGAAAGACAAAAATGAAAACAGTTCCACCCCTCCAGGAGAATACATCTACTGGACAAGAGGCCTGGATACTGTTGAAAGAGGAGAGGGTTATTGGCAAGAAAACTTCAGCTTGCTTTTTTTTATTTCTTTTGCAAAACTGTCACCTCATTTCTCACCTGGCTGCACTATTTCGGGATTTCTCTGACTGACCTCACCATATTCCAGTGCTGGGTATCTTGTCTTCCCTCTGTCTACCGCTGCATTTCAGCCTCCTTTTGCGTTTTGTTTCCCCCCATTAGATTGTAAGCTCCTTGAGGGCAAGGACTGTTTTTTCTCATATTTGTATCCCCAGCACTTAGCACACTGCCTGGCACATAGTAGGCACCTAATAAATGTTTATTGAATTGAAAATAGAACTAAGACTCTGTTAGAAGCCTCTAGGCAAAAGAAGATAAGCCATGAGAGAGACAACAAATGGGGAGGCTGAATGGTTGAGTATAAAGAGGGCCAGATTTGCAGTCAGAAAAATTGGGTTTGAATCCCTAGCTCTGCCATCTTGGGCACCTGGGTGACCATGAGCAAATCACATTAACCTCCTTCAGCTTCAGCTGTCTCTTCTGTAAAACAAAAGGGTTCACCTGGGTGACCTCTAAGGTTCATTCCAGATCAAAATCTGTGATCCTAAGCCTTGGTCCCTTGGTTTCACTCTGGAATAGAGAGGTCAGTCCCAGAAGCCTGGAAAAAATCCCATCAGAGAGGTGCATTAATTTTCTCTTCTCGACTTTCCCTACTCTGGTCAAATGAATTCTGTTTCTTTCATTGCTGCCCTTTCTTAGCTGTCTTGTCAGGGCACAAAAGGCTTAGCACAAAGCTCTCAGCTAAGTTCTGGTCATGTTATTCTACTGAGAAGGTCAGGGAAGGGCTCCATAGACAGCTGGGTACTCAATGTGCACAGCGCCCTTCCTGAGCAGTAGATATCTACCAGGTCATGTTACCTCATATATATCCTCCTGTAACTTACATCATTGGTCACAGCCAGGAGCAGTGTTATATGTAGGTACAGTAAATAGTCTCCTCTTGGTGCAGGACAACCCCATGTGTCCAAAATTTCTGTCCCACCATTCTGTCCTATAGCTGATGCCTGAAGTTAGAGCTAGAGGGGACCCTAGAAGTCCAGTCTTTTCGGTCAAAGAAAGAGTCCCTTGTAGATGTCTGGAAAAGGCAAGACATTTAGCCTGCTCTAATGTCAGCCTCTGGGTAGGAATTCATCGATCGGCTCCCTTTTGGCCAACTAAGAACAGAGACGTAAGAGGTAAGTTTCAATTGAAGGCAAGACAGGTGACGGGGGTCCAAAGCCAGGGCACTGACAAGAGAAGGCAGGCCATCATAGAGCCCAGCAGTGGAGGGGTGGCAGGGCAGCACGAATGTACTAGATACCTGGGAAAAGGAAATGATTTGAAGGGGAAAATTCAGACCTGAAAAGTGGGAGGGAACAAAAAAAGAGGCAAGTCCCATAGGGTAAAAAGCTCACCAAACTTGTCATCAGAAGACATGCTAGAGTACAAGCCCCTTCAATTATTATGCCCATTTATCAAGATGAGGAAGCTAAGCTTTGGAGAGAGAAAATAAATTGCCCCCAAAGCCACATAGCTAATAATACTGGCAATAACTACCTCTCAGAGTAGTAAGTATTATGGGAGCTCAGGGGAAGCAGAGATCATTTCTGGCTGGGTGGTTTGAGAAGGCAGTTGGTCTAGACACTTTCTAAGGCCCCTTCCAGTTCCAATATTCTGTGATTCTATGATTCTATGTAGCAATGGCAATACAATTACATCAGTAAAGCAGCGTAAAAAGATAACAAGTACACCTCACTGTTTCACCTTGGAGAAACAACTTAAACACTCTAAGCCTCAGTCTCTTCCTCTGTAAAATGAGGATTGGGTGAGAGAATTTCTAGGATGCCCCTACAGTTCTAAATGCTATGATTCAATGGTCACTATGATGTCTAGTTTTCTAAACACCTGGCCTACAAGGAGAGGATAGGCAGTTTTCATTTCTAAAAAAAAAAAGTTTAGTTTTATGTAGCAGATCACAGTGGGTAGAGGACTAAACTGCTGGATTTGAAACTAAGAAGACCTGAGTTCAGATCTCATCTCTGGCACTCATTAGCTGTGTGACCATGGACAAACTACTTGACTTCTCAGAGATCTATTTTCTGGAAAATAGGGACAATAATACCCAGGAGATGATAATCTACCTGAACTTATTGTTCAGTGATTAACATACTCCCACCCCGTCATCCTCTCCCCACTGTAATACTTCTGAACCCTCAGTTGTCATTGTACAAACCCTGTTCCCCACTGCTCACTGCCCACTCCCTTATTTCAATCCCCTTCAACCCTACCCCAGCCCCAAAGACCCTCCCCAGTCTTATTTACTCCTTCCACTGTTTTCTCTAGAATGCCTGAATCCATGTGTAATGCTTGTTTTCACCTTAGAATCTTCCTTTTTTAACTAGATCTGCTTTCTTGCACTTACTGAGACCTGGCTTTTTCCTGATAACCTGGCACCGAGAGCTACTTTTTCTGGCACAGGCTGCCATTTCTGACATATGCTCACCTCACTGGTCACAGTGGGAGAGTTGGAATACTCCTTGCTTCCCATTGCCACTTCTGTACTTTCCCTCTACCACCATCTTTCAGGAACCTCTCCTTTGACGTTCACTCAATCCATATTTATCACCCAAGCAAGGTTCCAGTAGTTGTATTCTACCAACCTCGAAGACTCACCAGCATAACTACCTCTCAGAGTAGTAAGTATTATGGGAGCTCAGGGGAAGCAGAGATCATTTCTGGCTGGGTGGTTTGAGAAGGAGATTGGTCTAGACACTTTCCAAGGTCCCCTCCAGTTCCAATATTCTATGATTCTATGTAGTGATGGCAATATGATTATATCAGTAAAGCAGTATAAAAAGATAACAAGTATACCTCACTCCTTCCTTCCTCATTAAGTTCAGTGACTGGCATATAATATTTCCTCCCCAGCTCTTGCCTTTATACTAAAGAGCTTCAGTATATTGATATACCTTTGAATGCCCCTAACTTCCCAGTTGTTCCATTTATTCATTTCCCATGACCTAGTCCTCCATCCAATTCAGCTACACATGGAAATGATGGTACCTTTGATCTTATCATCATCCACACAAATGTTCCACTTCCATATTCATGACCTTGAAATTGCTTTATCTGATCATTATATTTTATCATTCTATCTTTCCATCTGACAACTCTTAACCCTGTTCTTTATCTGTAACAATCTTTTCATCCCTCATTTCTTTCCCAGGCCATCACTCTTGCACTGGCTATACTCTCTTCCCTTCCCCATCTCGACCTCTTGGTGAACCGGTTAAACTTGACATTATCCTCTCCTCTCAAATCATTTGCCCCTTTATCCTATCCCTGATCTTATCCTGTCGAGCCTCAGTCTTGGATTACCCACTGCTTTTGCTCTGACTCACATGTTGCTGAATGAAGCTGGAGAAAAACAACAAAACCAAGCTGACTAGGTCCATTAAAAATTTACATTACATCACCTCAAGTGGGCCCTCACTGCACGAAGGCAGCTCTTCTACACCTCCCTAATCTAGTCACCTTCCCACTCACAGCAGCAGCTTTTCCAAACCTTTCTATCCCTTCTTAAACCAACCTATCTCCACTCCCCCAGCAGAACCTTGCCTCATATTTCACTAAAAAAAGCTATTTGCCAAGAGCTGTAGTCCTTCAGATGCTTTCTGCCACTATTTTCTCTTTCTCTCTTGTCTTACATAAAGAGCTGGCCCTTCTCCTTGCCTAGGCAAACCCTTCTAAATGCACAGGTGATCCTGTGATCCATCTCATATTCTCCAGCACTATGTATGTATATATATATACACACACACATACATATATACACACATGCATACATACACATGTTTATACACACATATGTATATGTGTATATAGACATATATATTTTGTACATAGTTAATGGATGTTGTCTCCCTCATTAAAATGTGAAGTCCTTCAGGGCAGAAAATGTTTTGCTTTTCTCTGTATCTGCAGGGCTTAACCTAGTGCCTGACACATAGTAGAAACTTAATAAATGCTTGGAGACTGATTGATTCCTTACTTTTTTTGTGTATATATAAGTGTGTGAGGTCTGGTTTTTCCAGTAGGTCTATAAGACTTGCGTTGACCTCTGGAACAGGCAATATCTTCCAATCTCCTTCTACATTTCTTCCTCACGTTTTCCCCTTCCTAATTCAGAAAACTGCACATTAAGAGAGTTTCCTGCACTGAAAAACCCAAGTTCTCCCCAGCCTCCTCTCTTGTTTCCCCGGGACAATTAAAACTCTCCATGTGCTTCTAGAATCTCTGTCCCACAGGAGAGATTCAGTCTAGTTGGTAGAAGGGCTGGATCCCAGGAGTAGGCCCAAGGGAGAAGACTAAAGTGGAAAGGAGAGGAATGAATAAAGGTCTGGGGAAGGGAAAGAGATGGGGAAGAGGAGACAGTGTTGGGAGAGAAAAAGAAAGGGCAGTGGAAGGGAGGGGACAAGAGAAGGGTAAGGAGAAAGAGATGAGGAAGGGGCTATTGGTAGAGGAGAGAATGCTAGGGAAAGGAAGGAAGGGAGAAAGAAGAACAGACAGGGCTAGGGGAGAGGAGTCAAAAGAGAGAGAGAAAAAGGATGGGGGAGAGTCCCAGCTTGCTCTGCCCTTCAAAGTAAAGGGCATGATTATTACTCCTAATTTGTTTTGGCTCCTATTCTGACCCTACAACCCAGGGAAAGGACGTAACTTGGTTCAAGTGACACAGGAAGTCAGTGTCGGGAAATACCTTTTCTCTAGCTGGCCCTAGACCTATTTTTGTTAGGGCCTTTTGGCTTGAGAGACAGCCAGAGTGATTTATCAGTCCCCTCTCTAGGCCATCGGGTTGGCAGAGAGGAGGTGGAGAGGCTGGGAGAACTGAACAGGGAGGCTCATGTAGTGAGATGTCATCTGAGACACCCCTCTCCTCCTCCAGCCTGCCCTACACATCAATAAATAATCTCTTCCCTGGTGCCCTGGGAACATCAGGAGACAGTTTGCTTTTCTACCTACTGGAACAGTGCATAGATAAAAATCACAGAATCCTAGATTTAGAGCATAACGAGACCCCAAACACCATCTAGCCCAACCCTCTCATTTTATAGACGAGGAAACTGCAGAGAAGTTAATTCACCTGTGCAGAGTCACACATGCAGTCAGCAGCAGAGCTGAGATCTCACCCAAATCATCTGATTCCAAATCCAGCTTTCTTTACTCGAGCTCATGACTGCCTCCAGAACATCAGATTCTAAGATTCAGAGCTCTTTCCCATACATAACTCTAGATTCATAATTTTAAGGCACTGTATAAATGTCAGTCATTATTTCCAGTAAGCTGGTATTAGAGACAAGAAGACCTGAAATCAGTCCTACCTCTGACTTTAAGCAGCTTTCTTTCCCTAGGCAAATCATTTAGTTTCTACTGGCTTCAGGCAACTCCCTAGGATTTGTGTACTATGTCATTGACAAGTGGGTGGAACTCTCCACAGTGATGAAATCAGAGATGACACTTCATATATTATTATTACTTTCGATCTTACACTAATTCATTCAAAAGTCCATAATGAAGGGCATTTGTTACTATTATTTAAAAATATATAACTTTAGAAACAACCCAGCCACAGCGTTTCTCCTCCACTTCCATATTTACCTAACTTGGAGTCCCCAGCTTCCCTCCATGACAGTTTCCTCACTAAAAAATAAAGAAGACTGAGACAGTTGCTGAGGTCCCTTCCAGCCCTAAGTCTATGATATGGCTCCTTTTATTTAATTTACACTTTCCAGGGGTAACCTGGTTTTGCTCAGGCCAAGCCTATTCACATTTTATCCCTCACTGAGTTCTCTCTTCCCCTCTGCGTTTGACACCAACCCGTATTAATTTTTTGTTCTCCTCATTTTAGGGTCCCAGTGACTAGAACCCCAGTTCTACAGAACCAGTTAATCTGATACATGCCTAGATCACTTAAGATGGAGTCATGCACAGGGAAGACACTTTGGGAACCTGCTTCTGAAAGACTGAAGCACATAGGGACATTCTGCATTGGCCTCCCCTGTGGCTGGGAGTAGCCTTTTACCAATGACTGACTACATCTTTAAAAAACAACCTAATTAAGCAATAGCCAGCTTAGTTTAGGTATTTTAAAGTCTCTCTTTGTATTTATTTATGTTTATTTTAATATTTTAAATATTCAAAGCTATAGCAAGAACAAACATTTATATACATTTATATATAGCATTTATACACATACACAAAACCTTTAAGGCATAGTTATCTCAATACCACCTCAGTCTCTGGGGAGGGAAGGGGGATTAGACTTTCAGTTTAGTTCTATTCCTACAAGGCGTTAGTCCCAACAAGTTCAAGTCCAAAGGCCCACTAGGCTAGCTATATAACATCTGACCTGGATTCCTCTATCCCTACGGCTCACAGTTACTGGTTGGAGTCTACTCTCTGCCCCTACAAAAAAAGAAAAAAAATGACAGAATAGGCCAGAACCCCAGAGAGGCTTCTTGGGAGTATGTGGAGTAGTGGGAGAGGAGGGGGCGGAGAGGAGTTGGCCCTTAAGTCTTCCCCTTTACCATATGGTATGAGGGAAGGAATCCTTCACCCTCAGATCCAAATCCAGAAAAGGCCCCTGGCTATTGCTTAATTAGGTTGTTTTTTAAAGATATAGTCTGTCATTGGCAAAAGGCTACTCCCAACCACAGGGGAGGCCAATGCAGAATGTCCTCACATGCTCCAGTCTTCCAGAAGCAGGTTCCCCCAGCATCTTCCCTGTGGATGACTCTATCTTAGGTGGTCTAGGCAAGTATCAGACTCTGTTATGCATGCATTATCCCATTTGAGTCTCACAACCCTATGAGGTAGGCACTAAGAGAGTTGACCCCATTTTACAGATAAGCAAACTGAGGCACAGAA